CATACTACTAATAATATCACTGATAGAACTTCATTGGATCACTTGAAATTTGATAATTATTGCTTATTGATATACATCCATAACTATTCCTACTATTATAAAAAAATTTCAACATAAGCTGAAGCGGTATTTGATATTTGAAAGGATCGAGCAAATTTCAAAAAAAAAAGTTTGGTTGACATTTGCATAAAGGAAACTAATGAATAGCTGGAATTTAATGTCATTGAAATATTTAATCTGTGCAGTATATAATAATCCTGTCTACTTTGTTTAATAAAATATTGTATATTGAGTGGTAAATAAAATATTGAATGAATTATTTGCATGTTGTAAAAATTTTAGGTTTTAAATTTTGGTGACATCAATTAACTGACAACTGGAAATATATTGGTTTACTTCCGATGTTTATTCTTAGCTATTGTTTACCATCTTACTCACATTTTAATTGATCATATCCAATTCTATCTCAACATATGCAATAATTCACAATCGATCGAACTGTAGTAGACATAATCCTCAGATCGGTCAGAAATGGAAAGTAACACACAATGAATTGATAGGAGATATGTGAAAACTTTAGTGTGAATGGATAATGGTCAAAGCAGTGGTAATTAATAATGATTCTCACTAACCAGAAGTTTAAAACACCATTCTTTTCATTTGCCTTTCTTCAAATTAATTCAGCAACTCAAATAATGAATCAGTAAGGTAAAGAAGTTTTCAAGCAAGTGATAGAAGTAATTGCACAAAATCAAAATGCATGAATGGAAATTGATGAATAGTTGGAATCAAATATCAGTAGGTGATGAAATGTTTAATCTATACAGTATTGAATAATCCTAATTGCATTTCTTAAAAAAATATTGCTACTGAATTATTTGCACATTATGGAAATTTTAGATTTTAAATGTCAGTTGATTGACAGTTACAACCTTTCGTCAGTTAATCAGCACAAAATTTAATTTCGATAAATCTAGCATGAACTTTTGCGGTAAATATCCAGGTCTCAAATCAAAACAAAAATGTTTTTATAAGAGATCTTTTCTTTTTCTGTTCTGTTCTATTGTCGGTTATGATTTGTGACAAGTTTAATGAGTAAAAGGCTACGAACTGCCCAGGAAATGTTTCAACTACCCGAGAATTGGGGATCACTTCCTAATGATTCTTTTTCTTATGACATTACTCGAATATTTTAAAATCAGTATTTCAATAATAAAATCAATGTCTCAAAAATTATCATTTTAAATTGATATTTCAAATAATTTATGATATTATTATGAGAAGTATTTTGCCACCAAAATATCGGCTGAAGATATAGCGCCAGGGAAAATCACAAATAAGTTCAAATTTATGTTGATCAAAAACATTTAGCAATGTGCAAAAGAGGATACAGTTAATAAAATCAATTCTCCTTTTAATTTGTCAATATATTTTGGAAACTTTTAAAATTATCCAAAATTATAATATAAAATATTAATAACATATAAAAGCTAGATTAATTAAAGTTGTAAAATAAAAGTAGTCGTATCGATGCACTTTATATTTCCAGTTTTTTATTTTTTATTTTGCATCTATCGCTATTAATATGTTTTGAAATTGTAACATTTTCTTAAGTTTTATAAATTGAAGTTTTTTCATTTGTTATTTTTCTTTTCTTCTTTGTTCAGATTAATTATACAAAATTACAAGAATTATTAGCGTATTCCATTTGTCACAGATAGAGTGACATACTCAATGACAGTATTTCAAATAATTCTTCGAGTAGCACTTGATGAAATAGCAAATCACAGTATTTAGTGTATTTTTTTCTGCTTAATAGTGAACATTAAAAGTGAGAAAAATTTTTTTAAAAAAATGTTTAAAAATAAATTATGATAACTTTTTGAAGTATTTTTCTAAAGCCTTTTAATCATTGCTAATTTATAATTGTTTTTGTTATTTACAAAGTTAACATTTGTAAACGACTTAAAATTTACATATTTCGTTGTATGCAAAATTCATCAGTCAATATCTTTATCCTTTAGTTTTATGTGTTTTTGGAAGTTTTAGTTGAGAATTTTCAATCATTGTAAAATAATGATTAATTAATATAAATAGAAAATTAGTGAAATATATTAATAGAAAAAGTTGGAATGATATAGTGATTAAATAAATTAGTTATGATAGCTTAAATTATGTGTGATAAATGTTTTAATAGTTTCTTAAAATTTGCAAGAGATAAATAGAATTAATGGTAGAACTAATTAATCTAATTATAGATGTAAATTATTTACAGGTTTTCAGGTGAAATTTTAACTCTATGCAGAATGTCTCTCATTCAAATGAAGTAATCAAATGTAATTACAATGAATGATAATTGATCAAAATATTTTCATGTGTTATAAAAAATCAGAAATGAATCTTATTAATAGCTATACTAACAAGAAATCAATTTTAATTCTTTAATTTTGTTAATTATAATATTTCAAATTCTTATTTCACTTTTTAAATGATTTTTATTATTTATTTATTTATTTATTTTTGTAAAACATTTTTACCATCATTTCTTTCTCATTCATTGATTTTAATATCATTTCTCGTATTTATTTCTACTCATTTTATCATTTCATTTTTTGTGTCATCTTTAATATTAGAATTATCACTCTCATTAATATTTGTCTTTATCACTAAAATCATCCATTTCATTAATATTTATCCTTATCACTACATCTATCATTATCACATTTGTCACTTCTATACTACTTTTTCCTATTTGATTCCTTTTTTTCTTCTTCCTCTTCCATTTCTTTCTCTTTCCTTTTTGCTTCCTTCTTTTCTTCCTTTGCCAGTTCACGTTGTCGTACGTAATCAATAATCATATTTGTCATCGGTATATGTAACATTGTCAACCCAAATGATACAACTGTTCCAATGACAAAGAATATAACAAATGGTGTAAAGAAATTTCCAATTCCAGTCTAAAAATTTTTAAATTTCAAATTTTACAGTATAAAATTTCAGATTTAAAGAATAATAGAATAAAGTATTCATTTTTTTTCCAAAAAGAAAAAGAAAAATGAAATTAATTAATAATGTAAATAGATTGGTGTAAAAAAATTTCCAATATTATTGAAAAATTTTAATTTCAAATTTGACAGCATAGAATTTCAGATTTAAGAAAAAAAAACAAACAAACAAACAAAAGAGTAAATTATTCATTTTTTCTAGAAAGAAAAAAAAAAGGAAAAGAAACAAAATTAAAAGGTAAAACATTTTGATCAGTAATATAGATTATTGATAAAGAATAAAATTAAAAATTTAAATTTAATAACTATCAACTCTGAAATCAATTTAAATGAATGAGAAATGAAATAAGTGAAATACTACTACTGACATACGTATATATAACATTTCGTGGTTCAAGAGCTGACATAACTTCTGGATGTCCGTTCACCTAATTTCACTGACAAAACAATGAATTATTTTGTAAAAATCGTAATTTTTATAAATTAAAAAAAAAAATGGTTTAGGATCAAAATGATTGCATTAATTTTAAAGGAGTAGAAAAGAAAAAAAAAATTTAAGAAATTATTCATTGTACGAAATAAAAAGAAGTGTAAAAGCATTTTATAATTTTCACTATATGATTTTAGTAAAAGATTTATCGATTTCCGCAATAATTATCTGAAATTATTAAGGATAAGATATTAATAGTAGATGATAATAGTTAATCAAATACTTCGGGAATGAAAAATATTCCATGGACTTTCTTTTCACTTTATTAAATTAAATAAATTTCATTATTTCTCGAACATAATAGTTTACTTGCATTAATAAAATAAATGTTGAAATATTTTGCCATGTTTTTCTAATTAGAATGCTTCTATTTCACTCAGAAATGCAATATTCTCTATAATGCTGACTTATTCTGATTTTATTAAACATATAAATTTGTCTGAAATTTACTTCTTTCTGCCCCCCACTAAATTTAAGTTAATATGATTTTGTTCACATTCACATTATTCATTGATATTAATTAATTACTTAATTAATTAAATAAAAAATTTGAAATTTATTTAATATTTCAACAATTTGTTCACTATTTTCTTTTTTTTTTTAAATCTTATTTTATACAATTAAATTTAATTGTAAAATTTAATACGAAAAAAAGAAAGAGATGCAAAAGTGCTAGTGCACGGAGTGGGATTCGAACCCACGCATCGATAACGATACCAGAACACCCCAGACACACTTCGAGATTCTCGTGTGAAGCATAAACACTATTGCTTGAGTCTGGCGCCTTAGACCACTCGGCCATCCGTGCTCACATAATGCGACACTTTCATTTTCAAATTTTATCTAAATTAATAAAATAATTCCTTTTTTTTTTCGAACTTTTAATCTTTGCTAACGCTTTGACAGAAATCGAACCTTTAACCTTTAACCTTCAACCTCTAATCTCTAATCTTAAACTTATGCTATATATAACATAGATCGTTTTTTTTTTCTGAATTGTTTTGAATCATTTGATTGATAATATGTTTGAATGCAAAAAAAAGAAAAAGAAAAAAATGAAGTCGCACAAATGACTGACTGACCGAATGTATTCAAATGATTCAAGTTGATAGTGCGATGACCAAATTCAAGTGATAATGATGATTGTCGTGAAACCTCAAACTTGGGTAATTAAACCTTTATTTAACATGAAGCAAATAATAGCGCTTTATACATATCGTACGGATGCTACACCGATTAACAAACGCGTAACGAAAGATATAATTATAAAACATTAAAACGATATCAAAACCATCCCAAAATGCAGAATGAACCACCGTATGGAGGACGATGGTTTATATGCATAACTGAGCTGATCAGATATCCGACAGAGGATATTTAACTGATGTGAAACAAAGACTGCTAATAAAGGGTTTTGCTAACAAAGGGTTTGCTAACAAAGGGTTTTTGTTGTGTGAGGAAAAGGAATCAGATAAGAGTAATTTGTTAGTTTTGGATATAATAATTTAAATCTTTCGTCTTTCACGACACTCCCGACCAGAAAAGATAGGTAATGCGTGGGGTTCATGAGAAAGTAGGGGTTGTTTACTTCCATTGATCTGTTTTTGATCGTGTAAATCTCTACAGGTTTCTGATGATGGTGCGGTGATAGTTGTTTGGTCCTCCTTTAATCGAGATTGTCGTTTTGTATTGCTTCTAGTTCGCATCGCAATAGGTTCCTGGAGCTCCTCAGTGTTCTGTTCGGTTTCCGGAATTTTCATATTTTCTTTCTTATTAGGCTCAAGATGAATTTCTTCATCATTAACTTCGAGAGGATACAAGACATTTATTGGACGATCGAGAAGTTTCCCAGTGGGAGTTTCCACCTGAACGTTCCTAACTTTACCGTCTTTATCGATTTTGATGTCCTTGATCCGTAATAATTCCACATTCCTCTTGGAATTCCCGATTCATTTAAGAGTACAATCTCTCCCTTTCTTGGAGTTCTTTTTTGTGCTCCTTTAGATGATTTCCCTTTGCGTGCGTTCTCTGAGGCTAGTTAAATATTCGGTTCTCCAGATTTCCCAAAAAACATTGAGAGTTTTAAGGGTACTTTCCCAGTGTCTCACGAGTTTTTCTCTGGTATCTAGTCTATAAGGGGTGAATTCTTCCTGCCTGCTATAAACTTCATTTATAGGTAGATGGAGCGAAGCGTTAGGCAAAATAAAATCAATTGGACGTATAATGACGCAATCGTCAAAATTGGCGTAAGTTAGTGGTCGGGTATTAAGTATACCTTCAACTTCTGCAATTAATGTTACCAATTCCCTTTCCGCTAGAAATTTGCTGCCAGTGGCTCTTCTTAGCGCATTTTTCGTTAACCCAATTAATCTTTCGTAGATTCCTCCTTGCCACGGAGCTTTTGGTATAATATTTTTCCAAGTCATTCCTCCCTTTGCTAGGAAGTTGGAGACTTTGACTTGTGTCATAAGAGATCTGAAAGCCTGGAATTGAGTGGCATTGTCACTCAGAATTAGCTCAGGACACCCTCGTCTCGCAACAAATCTTCGGATAGCATGAAAAAAGGTTTCTGCGGATTGGTCTTCTGCTAATTCGAGATGCATGGCTCTTGTTGTAAAGCATGTAAATAATATTACCCACCTTTTTGTTGACACGCTATTGCCCTTGATTGAAAGAGGGCCAAAATAATCCACGCCAACACGTGCGAAGGCTCTAGATCGATTGACACGAGTTTCCGGGAGACCATTGATGGTAATTTAAACGATCTGGAGTTCCAACGTTTACAGATTCGACATCTGTTTATTATTCGCTTTACTTCAGTCCTGCCTTTGGGAATCCAAAATCTACTCCTTAATTCTGAAAGTGTATGGGCGATACCTGAATGACACAGATTTTCATGTTGGTATAGTATAAGGAGTTCTGTTATTGGGTTGTGTCGAGGGAGATCGAGGGAGATAGATAGGATATTTGCTGGTTTCAGGCAGTTCCGAGTTCACGAGTCGGCTAGTAGATCTCCATAGTTTATCATCTTCGGTGTGGAATAAATTCCACTTGTTTATTTCGTCGTCATTGATTCCTTCAGATTGTGCTTGTCTAATTAACAGCCATTCTGACACTTTGTAATCTTCAGCTGTAAATCGATTTCTTTCGATTGAAACAGACTGTAGCCATGATAATCTGCCTTTAGTTGTTAATCGAATGAATTTAAGGATCCACGCTGTTGTTCGTAACAGTCTTAGAAAATTATGATCCTTGCATATTCGCGAGACTTCTGATACAGTGATTTCTTCTGGTTCGTCACTGTTATCAAATTCGTATTCCCATTGTGGCCAACTGATTTCTCCTTTTACTAGCCACGACGGTCCACGCCACCATGATGTAAAACTTCTAAGTTGGTTTGGATTAAGACCTCTAGTTGCCACGTCTACAGGGTTATCTTCTGATGGAATATAACGAACAATAAATTTCGCTTTACGTATTTCCTCGACTCGGTTTTGAACAAATCTTGGTAATAGGTTAGAATGGTTTTTTATCCAATGTAAAGCACATTTAGAATCCGACCATAAAATTATCCTTGTATTGACGATATCCAGCTGTGTTATGACAAATTGCGCTGCTCGCGTTCCGATTAGTATGGCCATTAGCTCTAGACGCGGTATTGTCATACCTTTAATAGGAGCAATGCGAGATTTTGCAAAAATGAGCGATGAGTTTGTTCCTTGCATATCCTGACTCACTAAATACACTGCTGCTGAATATGCTACGCTTGAAGCATCGGTAAATACATGTATTCCAATTAAGTCTGTAGAAGTTGTTACAAATCGCGGTAAGTCTTTTACGACCGTTGCCCATTCAGCAATAATAAATTTCCATTGCTTATGGTCTTGCTCATCTAATATCTGATCCCACGAATTATTCTTTTTCCATAAATTTTGCAAAAATATTTTAAATCTTACCATTATTGGAACTAAAAATCCTAGTGGGTCATATTGTGATGCAACAAACTGTAAGATCGTTCTTTTTGTTAGTTCTCGGTCATTCCATGGATTTAATTTTATCTGAATGACGTCTTGACAGGGATTCCATGAGATGCCGAGGATTTTCGTATTTTTTCTTATTGCTCGATCTTGCTGCGGCAGTTCTGTATAAAATTCTTCATCGTTAGATAAGAACTCCCTTAGATTCATTGAGGCTTCATTGAAGATGGATTTCATTTCCGCATATTTTTCTAATGCGTCCTGCGTTCCGTTTGATGACACAATAACGTTGTCCACATAAAGATTTTTCTTTATTTCTGCGGCTAATTCACTAACGTGGTTTTCCAAATGATAATGCAAGGTAGCAGATAGTAAAAAGGGGGATGATATTACTCCAAACGGGATTGTTCTAAAACGGTAACATTTTATATTCTCGTTGGATACACTTCCTTCTACTTCCTTTAGCCAAAGGAAACGAGTACAATTTCTCTCTGAAGGGTGTAACTGTATTTGTAAGAATGCCTTTTCAATGTCAGCTGTGATTACCCCTTTCATCATTCTAAAGCGTAATAATACTCCTACAAGATCTGGGAGGTTAATTGATCCACGATATAATACTTCATTTAAACTTTTCATTCCCTTTATGTGCGCTGAAGCATGATAAACAATCCTTAACTTAGTGGTAGTTTTTCCTGGATTACGAACATCATGATGTGGCAGGTAATGAATAATTCCATCTTGATTCATTTGTGATTGTACTTCTTCGATTATGCCAGATTGTAGTTGATCTTGTATCATATTCTTGTAATTCCTCTTTATGGGACTGAAGTCGTGCTATTAGCATTCGCAAACGGCTGACGCATAATCCATAATTATCGCTCAATTTGCCTTTGCATGGTTTCCATGGCCAACGTACTTCGTATCTTCCATTTTGTTTAGTGATACTCTTCTTAAATTGTTCCAGTGCTTGTTCATCATCTTGTGTATCAGATCGATCTTGGATGCCAATACAGTCCAACTTCCAAAATTGATCTATATCTGGGGCACGGTTTTCTTGAGATATCTTCGTTGCAAAGATCTGGTGATGGCACAATTCATTTGTATAACCGCTTCCTGCTATGATAGGTCCAACCTTGCTGTTCAGTAAAGTGAATCCTGACTTTAGTTGCTGAGCGTTTTCCATATGAATAAAGTTGAAGAAATAGTCAGCTCCTATAACTATGTCAGGTTGTTTCTTGTAACTTTTAAGATGGTAATTCTCACCTTTGTCTACCACTTCCATCACTTGAAGATCGTTTGTTAAATAATCCATTACAGTGGCTTGGATAGTCACTTGATCGGAGTTTTCCGTTTTCACTCCAATTTGTGTTTGAGTTGTGCGGCATACTCGAGGAGTCCTATTGCCAAAGGAGGAGATCTTATACTCTTCTTCATCAGTTTCTAGGAGATTTAGTCGATGTGCTAGCCTTTGTGAGATAAAGGTCGCATCTGCGCCGACGTCAAACAGTACTAAAGCTTGTACTTGATGTTCAGGTTTATCAGGATTAAAGACATTAATTTCTCTACATAAAAGCAGTACTCGTTTCTTTTCAACTTTCTTAGTTGGATTAACAGATATGTTTGCATTTTTGGCAACAATCTTCCCAGTATCACGAGTCTTAGTGGTACAAAGGGCGCTATTGTGGGATTTTTTGCAATAAAAACAACTTACTGTTTTTATGCAGTTGAGTTCGTTGTGTCCAGATTTAAAACAATTAGAGCAAACATTGATTTCCTTCAATCGATCAATTCGCTGCTCCACTGTAGAATATATGTGACACTTACTATCCCAATGATTGTTATTGCAGAAGATACAGGGTCTCCTTTTCTGATTTGTCGACCAATTTGGATTCTCTTGATTTAGCTGGTTCTTTTCGGCTGAAGCCGTTCCTCTTATTTGCTTTGATTGTTTTATTGCAATCAATGCTGAATTTTCTGGAATGCTTGCGTTAGGATGACGTTTAATTAAATTTTTACGACTGACGTTATCCAAGTATTGCCATTCCATTACCTGGTCGTTTCTATTAATTGTCTTCCTGAGAAGCTGTCGAAGTTTTGTTACAGACCACTGGCCATCCTCTTCCTTTTGTTGATAAACCTGGTTTAATATCCAGTTTGGTAATTTGGATTCTATTATCGTTTCGATGGTAGGTTGCTCTACGTTTTCGCCAATTGCTTCTAACTGCCTTAGAACTCTCTCCATTTCTTTGATTATTATTTTCCAGTTTCTGTCGTTTCGTTTTGTAGATATGAATTCATTGTAAAGTAATTTTCTTATAGTGGAAACACGACCAAATTTCTCCACTAATAATTCTCTTATAATTCTATAGTTTTCAGGTGCCCTATCGTAACCTCTTACTAGCCGTAGGCCGTTTCCTCTTAAGCAAGAAACCAAGTAATTTAATTTTTGGATATCTGGTATGTTTTGAGAGTGTACGGAGGCTTCGAAACTACTCCAGAATTCTCTCCATGTTTTAGGGTCTCCACTAAACGTTGGTAACGACAATTGTGATAAATTTACTACTGGACGACATTCAGTTAAGCTAGGTTCTTTAATTTGTGCTAGACGTTTAAGGGCTAGCTCTGTATCATCCTTGTACATAGATAAGGTTATAATGGTATCCGTACCTGTGTTAATTAATTTTAAAATACCTCTATCGTCTATTGCCATTCGTTCATATTTTTCTTTTTTCTTTTGCGACATTGGGGCTAGTTGAATGTGTTCCAACCATTTGTCGTTGATCTTCTCATGAGTGCCAACGTATTTTTCGAGGCGCATCAACTTTTCTTTGATGATCCTTGCCCTTGCTTCGTATTGCTGGCACAATACTTCTACTGTCGCTTTTTGGTCTAACGGAGTTAGATCCAATTGTCGTATTTCATCGAGGAGTCCCTCGAGATTCGCTTTTACTGGTGTAGCTTGAACAATTATACTGGCCGACATACCTTACCTCACCTCGGGCACCAAAAATTCTTTTGTCGTGAAACCTCAAACTTGGGTAATTAAACCTTTATTTAACATGAAGCAAATAATAGCGCTTTATACATATCGTACGGATGCTACACCGATTAACAAACGCGTAACGAAAGATATAATTATAAAACATTAAAACGATATCAAAACCATCCCAAAATGCAGAATGAACCACCGTATGGAGGACGATGGTTTATATGCATAACTGAGCTGATCAGATATCCGACAGAGGATATTTAACTGATGTGAAACAAAGACTGCTAATAAAGGGTTTTGCTAACAAAGGGTTTGCTAACAAAGGGTTTTTGTTGTGTGAGGAAAAGGAATCAGATAAGAGTAATTTGTTAGTTTTGGATATAATAATTTAAATCTTTCGTCCTTCACGACAATGATGATCAAATTCAGGTGATAATCAAGTTCAAGTGATAATGATGATGGTTAAATTCGGGTGATAATCAAGTTCAAGTGATAATGATGATGATTAAATTCAGGTGATAATCAAGTTCAAGTGATAATGATGGTGATCAAATTCAGGTGATAATCAAGTTCAAGTGATAATGATAATGATAAATCCAGATGATAATCATGTTTAAGTGATGATGGTGATGATCAAATTCAGTGATAACCAAATTCAAGTGATAATGGAAAAGTGTGTAGTATGATACAATCTAAATGAGTTAACTGTTTTGATATTGTCATCGATGCGCATGCTTTAGTTTTTCCTTGTATTTTTTTTGTCGCTTTTTTAAAAAAAAAAATTAATTTCAAAAAAAAAGTTGATAAATTTATGATTTAATAGTTGATGATAAAATTTCATTCTTTATGATTGTAATGAAGATGGAAAAAGACTAAATCATATTTTTAAATTTTTAAAAAAATCCATGAAAGTGTTTGTTGAAATTAAAATATGATAGTAAAAGTATTATGGGCAAGAAGAACTAATTGCATAGAATTTCTTTTTTTAATATTGTAAATTAAAATTTTGTTCAAGTTATATGCACTGTAAAGTTTTTGCAAAGCAATAAATGAAATCTTTTTTTCTCTTTTTTTTGTTAATGTAATTTGCTTACATAGAATCAGTAATGTTTACGTATAACGTGCAGCTATTATTTATAAGTTCATTTGTTTATAAAATCATACAAATAAACATTTTTTTGTGTTTCCTTTTTTTTTTTGATACTAAAAACTTTTAAATTTTCTACGAATAAATTTTTATTCAATGAAATGAAAAAATTTTACAAAAACATTTTTGACAAATGTTACATTCAGATAAGGCAGTACAAATTATTTGAAAATTTATGCAAAAAAAAACAAAAGAGTATCATCAGTGCATACAAAATAATAATAGAAATTTTTTTTTTACTTCAAATGAAAGAAGTAAAAAAAAAAAAATTTTTTTTTTTTAAAAAAATGAACTGAGAAATTTAAAAATTTTTGCAAGAATATTGTAATCATACAAATGAATTATCATTCATTTCTTCTTATCATCGTCTCCTACAACATTGCTGTTTACTGATACGTGATTGTGTTGATAAGCATACAACATAACCGGATGGACATTTACATTGGCCACTTCTTGCTGAACCGAAAAGACAGTTGATAACTTGCGGTTCATAGATGGAATTTTGACGATAATATGGTGGTGATCGAAGGAGGAAAGTTTTAAAAAGTGGTGAATTCATGGAATTATCCGGAATTGGTGCAACTGTTTCGTAAATTTCCGTTTCTATTTGTGGTTGTTGAATGGAACTGATTGTGGCGGTATTAACTGGTGAATGAGCGCAACTTTCATGACATGTATATGAGCAAGATGGTTGACATTGATCAGCTGGTTGATCTTAAAAAAGTGTTATTTAGTTTATTTTTCTCTTTAACTAATTTAATTTTTAATCGTTAAAAAAAAACTCGTTTTTATTTTCAATTCAAATTTTGTGTAAAATAATTTTAATTTTTATGAATATAAAAAATATTAATTAATTAATTAATAGAGTATTACTTTGTTCAATACATTGTTGCATGCATGTTTCATGACATAAATTCATGCAATCCGGTGATTGTTGAATTGATTGCGGTAGGCTAATCGAAATTTCACGTGGTAGTAAATCAGTTTGGGTAGGTGTTATTGGTTCCTGAGTGGTACCACCATTTGTGTATTCATCTCCTGCACCACTTTGTTTTTGACTTTCGGTACATTCTGTTGGACATGGTCCTGTACAAATAGGTAAGCAAATTGTTGCTGTACCACTATTTGGAAGTGGTCGAATGATAATCGATGTTTGATTAGCTGGAATGAAATTTTGATAGGATACTGATGAATCCGGTGTTGGTTTTGGATAATAGATACCATTTGGCTGTTCCGATCGTTCCGGATGAGACGGAATTGCAGAAATTGTTCGTTCAATGCATTGTTTTTCACAGGATGGCATACAAAGATGAACGCAAATTGTATTATCACTATTAGCATATTGTTGCATTGCAGGTTCATATTGTTGTACTGGATAATAAGACGGTGTCTATAATAAATTTCAAAAAAAAAAAATTATTTAAAATTTTTTTTAGAAAAAATTTGAACTGAATTTTTTTTTTTACAATATAATTAAAATTTATGAAATAATTTTAATTAGGAGAAAAAGAAAAGTTAAATGAAATAATGATGAATGGCTACCTGGCTTTTTACTACAGGTACAGGATTATTGTGCTGTGATATTGCAGGTGCTGGTGTTGATCGTTGAATGCATTGTGATTCGCAGCTAGGCATGCAAACATGTAAGCATGTTCCAGTAGCGCTTTGCTGACCAATAACGCTTTGTTGACCAGTAGCTATATCAGAGGTTGATGGTTCATACTGATATGATATTGGTGCATATCCTTTTGATTGCTGATAAGTTGGTTGTGTGCTACTGTAAATTATGCTAATGATAGAAAAAAAAAGTGATAAGTTATCATTGCTTAAAGGAAATAATTTATCTTTAATATATGTAATAAATATAAATTATATATGAATTAATTTTGTAAATTTGTATTTCTATCAAAAAGAAAAAATCTCTTTGTGCAAATATTTTTTTTTCAACTTTAACTTTAACTTTAATAAAAATTTAATAAAAAAATATAATTTTAAACAAACCATAAATTTTGACATGATTGTTGACATGTATTTTGCTGCTTTTGCATACAACCTTGCATACAATTTGTAACGCATGGTGCTGTATCCGGTTGTTGTCGATAAACTGGTTGTCGATATGAAGACGGTAATGGTTGCCGGTAAACTGAACCGGTTGGTTGATAACATCCGCAACTAATCGAAATACAAACGCAACGTCTTGCACGAGTACGTAGCTGTGTCTAGAAATACAATCATTTTGAAAATGATTTTAAAAAAAAGATTTTTTTTTTCTTTTGAAAAAAGTTTTTTAATTGAAAAAAATTGGTAATATGTTAATAATGTATATTACAATCTAGAGATCATTTTTATTTTTTTTTTTTTGAATTTCATCAAAAATAAGGTTACTTTTTTATTTACTTAACATTTAAAATTGTAAAAAAAAATAATAATAATTAGTTTCGGAAAATTCTAAACCATCGAGCATACTTTCCTTTTTTTTTCAAACCTTTGAATTAGTTCAAATATTGCATTTTTAATTCAATTTAATAATTTAATTTAATAAAACGATAAAATTTTATTCGATTTTAAAAAAAATATTTAGTAAATAATTTGTTTAATTTATTTCAAATAGTAACCGCAAAGTTACAATATCTATTTAATTTTTTCTTTTCTCTCTCTTTCTTGTTATATATTATTTTGTTTATTTATCGCTGCTCAGATTTTATTTACTCAAATAAAGCTTTAATGTTTTTCTATGATTGTAGTTGTCGTTGATACATACTACTGTTACTATTTTAATATTACTTTTTTTATCTAGTTTACAAGTAAATTTCTAGTTTATTTATTATTTGATCAATCAACTGAAGTAAAGCTAAACTAGTCCATTTTGATGTTATTTTTTCTCCAGTAATTTTATTGATAATAAATGAATAACTTTATTAAAATGCTTTCTATATGAAGAAAATGATTTATTTACACAAATTCATAATATATTTGAAAAAATAAATTTTCAAAAAAAATAAAAAAAAAAATTTTGCTTTTTTTTTTTTAATACAAATTGCATTTTTGAATATTATATTTTTATTTTTATTTGATCTAACAAATAAAAAAAAATAATGAAAATTATCCATGAGAGTGATTAATATTTATTTTGTTTCCAATTAAATATTACCTAAGATTTTTAATCTAGTATATTATTTTTTTTTTTCTAAAATAAGTTTCATTAAGAAAACATTTTTATTCCCAAAAAAAAAAATTTGTTTTCTAATTTCTTCAAAAATGAAAAAAAAAAAAGGAAAAGTAATTCTTTGTTTACAAATGGATTTTGAAGCAAAAAGATTAAATATCATTTTTGATGTGTCTGCTGAGTATTAAAAATATAACAGGAAGAGGGATAGATTGTTGGATCGGTTGACAACATTTAAACAGTGGGAAGTTAGAAAGTAAACAAAATATGAAATGATGATGAATTAGTCGTAAATGCAAATGAATAAATGAAGGAGAAGAAATAAAGAAAGATAAACGAAGCATAGAAATTTTTATGTTTGATAATTAAAATTAATTTAGGAAGTTAATTTAAATATTTAAAATATTTTAATTTTAATTACAAAATTTTAGTCAAACTAATTATTTGCAGCATTGTTTATTCTTAATCATTTTTTATTGAAAAATTTAATAAATTTGTTTTTAAACTCTTTATCGTTTTATCTCTTTGCTATTTCGAAAAATATATTTCAGAAATATTCATATTCAATCATAAATTTAATTTAATTTAAGTTTTATTCGAGATAAAATTATTAATTAGTTTTTTTTTTTTTTTTTGTTTACTGTGTTGCTTCCAGAAAAATAAAAATCAATTATAAATGAA